GATGGGTGCAAGTTCTTGCCTCAATATGTCAAAATCTTTGGTGATTTTGTCTTTGAGTTCATTGAATTCTTGAGACATCTTTTGAATTACACCTTGAAGTTCTAATTCCATCTTTACCTCCATTCTTTTGATCTTATTTGCTATCCAAATTCTAAACTTTATTTCTGACATCTCAGCCATTTGTTTATGAATAGGATTTTGGGCTGTATGTGCTATATCGTTCCTTGGGGTAGTTGATCTACTGTGATTATTCATGTTGCCAGAGTTTTTCCACTCATTTTGCTTCATGATTTTTTTTTTTCTGGTTGACTAGATGGGCAGATAAGGTAGAACTAGATTGGGAGCTTCTGGACTTGTGGTTGACCAGCCCTTTGTCAAGGATCTGGGACTGGTGACTGCAGCTTTTTCTCCTGCAGTTTTGCACAGGACCCATACAGTATTACAGTCTGAGGCTGAGGAAATCTTCTTGGTGTGGTGGGGTTAGGTGGCTCTGTCTGATCCTAGTAGGTCAGTGACTGTGGTTTGAAGTCTTAGCTGTGGACAAATATAAGCAACTAAGACACCCCACCCTCTGTGGACAACAACTGGGAGAGGAAAATCAACCGTGCCCATTACCACACAACCAGGGTAGAGGTTGTACCACACAACTGGAGAGGTACCTTGGTAGATTGGTCCAGGTTAGGAGTTCCAAACCAATTTACCTGGTCAGTATGAACTCTCAAGAGGGAGAGTTTGAAAGTTCTCCAGAAACTGGATAGCAGAGGACTACTTGCCCATTCAAATTTGGCTCACTCCATTGCTCTGTGGAGTCAGAAAGGTCCTCTCAGTAGTAGAGTTGGACCAGGGGGCTGTGTCTCTTTCTCCACTTTGGTCCTCTTTCACACCCAGTCACTGGTGACCCCACAGGGTTGAGGTCCTGCTCCCTCCAATAAGCAGATGTGCCAGGGCTTTGCACCTGTCAGAGTCAAAGGAAGGTCAATGTCCCCTCAGTCCAGCCACCACCCTCTGCTACCAATCAGCTGGGGGAGCTGAGGCCTGCCTGCGTTGGTTACTCAATAGCCACTGGGGAGTGAGTGTTCCACCTGAACTCAGTCTAATCTTGAGGACAGGAAGTCTGTAAATGCTTTTATCCCTTAGCCACCACACCTTTGCCCCAGCTGCTCTGTAGCACCAGTATCCCTATAGAGCAAAATCTGGTTTTCCCTGGCAGTCCTCAGAGTTGAGGAGTTGTTTCTCTAAGATTAGACCCTGGTAGGGCTGCTTTATTGTTGTTGAATCTTTGTGGGAAGTGACCCTGTGCAGCTCTTAGGTGACTGCCACAGCCAAGGAGTGGCTGTAGGAGCAGCTCCGGGAGCACGGGGCACATGGATCCAACAGCAGGGAGGGGGACACTGCACATGGTTTTGGCAGTGCAGGGTCCCTGATGACTTTGGCAAGAAGAGTGCTTGGCCCATGAATCTGGTAGGGTGGGGTATGGGGCGTGTAGCTCTAGCATGGTGGGGTGCAGGGCTCTGGCTGGGTGGAGCTCGCAGCTCTGGCTGAGCGGAGCATGGGTCACTTGGTCCATAAGGGCAGGGGGCACTACTCATGAGCCAACTCCACAGTCTCTGCAGGGATTAGGCTTATAGATCATCAGGCAAGGGGGGAAGGGTGGACTGGAAGTTCAGAATGGCATGGAAAATGTTAGTTCAATTTTCCTGCTTGGCAAGAGAGTACTCAGGGTCACAACCAGGTCCTTCTGGGGAAGTAGTCCCTGTTTCCCACAGCTCTCACCTGTGGGGTGAGACAAGAGGTCCTCAGTTCACTGCTCCCATTAGAAAACTTACAGGAGTAAACAGGATAAAGAAAAGAAAACTTTCTTGGGGGAGGATATGGACACTTTTCCTTTGGGATGAATTTTGTACCTGAAGTTTTCTTTCTTGGAGTCGCAACTTGCCTCAGCAGATTAACACTCTTCTCTCTCAGCTCAGCTCCCAGAGTTCAGCTTAATTGGGTACTTTCTGGACATTATCTTTCCCTCTGGATGGGAGCTTCTATTGAAGGCTGGTTCCAGTTGACCACCTTACCCCCAAAGTCTCCTCTCCATCTTTGTTTGATGCTGCTTATTATTCCATGGTATACATATACTATAATTAATTGATTCATTCATGGGTTGCTGGGCACTTGGGCTTCTACCAAGACTTGGCAATTATGAATTGAGCTGCCATAAACAATCTGGTGAAAATATCGTTGTTGTCAATTTATTTTTGGTCTTTTGGATATACACCTAGTAGAGGAATTGCAGGATCAAATGGCAGGTCTACATTTATATCCCTGTGTGTTCTCCAAACTTTCTTCCACAAGGAATGTATTACCTTGCATTCCCACCAGCAGTGCAGAAGTTTTCCCTTTTCTCCACATCTGTGCCAGCATCTGTAGTTTTGGGGTTTTGTGATGTGGGCTACTCTTGCTGGAGTTAGAGAATATCTCAAAGTGGTTTTGATTTGCATTTTTCTGATGATTAAAGATGATGAGAATTTTTTCATGTGTCTGTAGACCATGCTCCTGTCTTCTTCAGAGAAGCTTCTGTTCAAATCTCTTGCCCACAATGAAATGGGATCACTTGTTCTTTTCTTATTAATTAATTTGAGTTCTCTGTGGGTTCTGGTTATTAGGCCTTTGTTGAAAATATAACCTGAAAAAGTCCTCTCCCATTCTGCGGGTTTTATACTTGCTTTACTTACTGTGTTCTTGGCAGTGCAGAAACTTTTTAATTTGATCAGATCCCAGTAATGTATTTTTGATGTTGCTTCAATTGCCTGGGGTGTCCTCCTCATAAAGTATTCTCCCAGGCCAATTTCTTCAAGTATTTCCCCTGCACTCTCTCCAAGAATTTTTATAGTTTTGTGTCTTACGTTTAAGTCCTTTAACCAGTGAGAGTCAAATTTTGTTAGACGAGAAAGGTGTGGGTCCAGGTTCATTCTTCTGCAGGTCGCCAGCTAATTTACCCAGCACCATTTGTTAGATAGAGAATCTTTCCTCCAATTTATATTTTTGATAAGCTTATCAAAGATCAAATGATGATAAGTGTGTGGGTTCATCTCTTAGTTTTCAATTCTGTTCCATACATCTACCTCTTTATTTTTGTGCCAGTACCATGCTGTTTTGATCACTATAGATTTATAGTATAGTCTGAAGCCTGAAAGCATGATACTTCCTGATTTTTTTTTTTTATTTCTGAGTAATGGCTTGGCTATTCAAGTATTTTTCTGTTTCCATAAATACCAGAGTACTAGTTTTTCCAGATCTTTAAAGTATAACAGAGGTACTTTAATAGGGGTTTCATTAAATCTGTAGATTGATTTGGGAAGTATAGACATTTTTAACAATGTTGATTCTTCACAGCCATGAGAATAGTATATTTTTCTCCTGTATTTTTTTTCAAATGACTTTGGTTGACCACACAGATAAGCAAAATGCAATGGGACTTTTAAAAAAAATTACAGATTAATATAAGGGTATAAATATTTAGGTTACATTGTTTTCATTTGTAAGGTAAAGTTCAAGTTGTAGTTGACCCCTTTACCCAGGGAGCGTGCTGAACACCCTCACATTGTGGACATTAGGTGAGAAGTCACCCATCACCCCTTTCACCTTCTCTGCTTCTCCCTTCCCCCTCACCAGATATATGTGTGTTTTTCTTTCATGTGGGTATACAGTTTATTGGTTTATATATTGATTATAATATTGTTTATATATTGGTTTCATATTAGAATTAAGTACATTGCATACTTGCTTTTTCATTATTGTGATACTTTTACTAAGAAGAATGTGTTTCAACTCTGTCTGGGTAAACATAAAAGATGAAAATGAAAAATCTTCATCTTTGCTTATGGCTTAATAGTACCCTTTTGTATACACATAACAATTTGTTAATCCATTTATGAGTTGATGGGAAGTTGGGCTGCTTTCATGTCTTGGAAATTGAGAATTGAGCTGCAGTAAACTTCCTAGTGCAAATGTCCTTATGGTAAAATGATTTTTTTTTTCTACATCTGGGTAGATAGCTAATAATAGGACTTGGTATCAAATGGAAGGTCAACTTTTAGTTCTTTGAATTATCCATACTTCTTTCCATAGATATTACATTAGTTGGCATCCCTATGAGCAGTGCAAATGTGTTGCCTTCTCTCCACATCCATGACAGCATGTGCAGATTCAGGATTTTGTGATGTGGGCTGTTCTCAGTGAGGTTAGGTGATATGTCAATACAAATCTCTTTGATTTGTATTTCTCTGATGATTAGAGACAATACGCACTTTTCATATGTTTTTTTTTTTGCCATTTGTCATCTTCAGAGAAGTTTATTTCTGTTATAAGTTAAGTGGGGTTGTTTGACCTTTTTTTTTTTTTTTTGGTTGATTAATTTGAATTCTCTGTAAAGTCTAGTTATCAGCCCTTTGTCAGATTCGTGGCATGTGAATCTTATTCCATTCTGAAGGCTGTCTGTTTGCTTTACTTGTTGAACCATTAGCTGTGCAGAAGCTTTTCAGCTTGATAATATCCCATTTATTTATTTTTGGTGTTGCTGTAATTGGCAATGGAAATTTTTATATTTCTGGAGGTGTATTACATTTCTTGTAGTTATATCTTTTGGGAGTGTCTCTTCCAATGAGCAGTGAAATTTGTTTTCCAAGAGAGCTAGTCATCTCAGGTGAGGTGAACATTCTTGTTGGTAGGGTCTGTTTGAGACAAATTTAACAATTATCAGGCAATATTCTCCCTTAGAAATGTGAGTGAAGGTGAATAGGAGAATTACGAGTGCTTTACCACCTAGTTCTCAATTTAGAATTCTGAAGTTTTAAAGGTCCACAAAGAAAGGAAAGACAGCATAATGACTACATATTATTATTATTAATCTGGCAATGTGTGTGTTTTAAAACATAATTTAGAGAAAAAATATTATTAGAATGTATTATTTACAAGTATTATTGTTGAATTTTTGTATACTTTTCTTACAGGTTGCTTATATTATTACAATAAAGGGAAAACCTTATTTTATCCATATCAAAAAGCAGTGAGTAGTTATTTTGTCTTTTAAAATTTTAATTTCTTGGTTTCTTTATTTTTAAAAGTAGTTATAAATAGAATTATTTCAATTCAAATGTATTGGTACTTATTGTATACGGGTATCAGGCAAAGTCATAGGTATACAAAAGAAAACAAAATGTGGTGTACAGTTAAAGGATTTGTAAAAGAGTAAGATGCATTTAGACAGATTAATACACATGCATTTGTAAAACAGGAAGATGCATTGAGACAGATTAATACTATATTATTAATAATGTAGTATTTTAATAAATGTGCAAATAGTATTCTTTGGAAGTCAGGGAAGAATTTTAGGGAAGAGGAAATAGATAACTTGTGTCTTGAAGGAACTAGTTAGCTATATAAAGAAGAGCAGTGGAGGAAGAGGAAATTCTGTTCTGAGAGGAAATTATTTGTAAAACAATTTAGGTGTGAGAACATAGCTTCTCTGATGTGCAAAATGTCCTTGCGGATTGTTAAAAGACATACATATTTTATGAAGGATAGAGGTAAAAGATTCTGGAAAGTTAGGCAGAACCAAGATGGTATATCTATAATGCCATGGTAAGAATATTTGGAACCAAAAATAATATTAAGAATATACTTACATAATCACATTGAGTCTTATAGGCTACTTTTGAGGCAAAAGTAGAGTGGCACATTTATGTTGAAATGTGTGATGATCATGGTTTGAACAATGACATCAATCTTAACACTAGAAAAAATTTCAGTAGGACTCAAGACATGTTTGGCAGATTGGGATATAATGAAGAATCTCAGATATAATTGTTGTTCAAGAAAATGGATAAATTACAAGGTAGTTAACTGAGGGATATGAACAGGGAGATATATGCCTGAGGAAGAAGTGAGTTTAGGTTTCAGTGCCTGTAAGATATCAAGTGGGTTTTTCCCCCTAATAGATAAATGGAGGAATATAAAATTCTAATGATACTCACAGGAATTATAAGGATGTACATTTGGCAATGGGGGTATAGATTATAGGTAAGCAGTAGCTTGATTGTAAGTTTTCTTTAAAAAATGAGCATTCAACTATGCAGCCCTAAAGAAGGATGGAGACTTTACCTCCTTTATGTTTTTATGGATGGAATTGGAAAATGTTCTTCTTAGCAAAGTATCTCAAGAATGGAAGAAAAAGTATCCAATGTACACAGCCCTACTTTGAAACTAATTCA